ATTTCCAAGGGTTGTCCTCTGACCTCTGTACATGTGTACATGGTGTGTACCAACCTACCAGCCACACAAATATTTTTTTTAAGAGTCTGTGAGATGGCTCCACTGGTAAAGATGCTTGCTGCCAATCCCCAGAACCCATGGGAGAAGGAGAGACCTGACTCTTACAAGTTGTCCCAAGACCTCCACATGCATGCTTTAGCACCCGTTTACCCACAAACACAATATACATAGGCAAATAAATATAAATTTTTTAATGCAGAGGAAGAATCCAGTGGGAGTTGGTTTGCTTTCCATGAGTTGAGCTTGAGACACAAAGAGAAGAGAGCTGGAGCTCAGTGGAGGCTCAGTGGAGCGTTCGAAACACAGACCTGCACATGACCAAGACCTAAAGGAAGTCAGCCGGCAGTGAAACAGAGATGATGGCATGGGAGACCTGGAAACAACAGCAGAGAAGGGCTAGCAGAAGTGAGGGAGAATGCTACTTAAAAGGTAAGAAATCCCGGCACTCTAGAGGTAGAAGCAGGAGGATCGCTAAATTTGGGCACTTGACCCCATGAGGGCAGCTGCAAGTGAATGACAAGGCTCAGAGGAATCCACTGGGCAGTAAAGAGTAGACTTCTGACCTCTGAGGCAGCAGCCCCAGGCACTTCCAATGCTAATCTGTATAGCACAGACCAACAAGGAGGCCTCTGGCTCCCCAGGAAAGAAGGAGTAGTGGCAGATTTGTTTGCTCCATACAGGCCAGGCCCAAGCCTCTCCTCTCCCTAGCCACACAATTCCCAGACAAAGGTTTCTGGGCTTGCCTGCTTCTTCTTGTCCCTGGCGGCATGCAACCAGGTCAGGGTCAGCTGCAGATGAAAAGCCAAAGCTCACAGGAGTGGCAGAAGTGGAAAGAGACAGGGGTGATGCACTGAGGACCAGGCAGTGGGATGCGCAACAAAGGAGGCTGGCACACTACCAGGCGGGCACTGTAATTTCAGTAGAAGCATAGTGTGTGTGTTTGGGTGTGAAGTGAATGTTTTTAAATTTCAGCCTGTCTAATTCTATAAATAGAATTAAAAACCTAATTTACACTACCTGACAAATTCCCCTGATCAAGAGCCTAATCTCAAAATAAAAAAAAAAAAAAAAACCAAAACAACCAAAAGCTAAAATGTATCCCCATTCAATGCATTGGGTTTCAAAGCGGGCACAATTTAAAAGTAAAATTTACTTTAGGGGGTATAGTTTTATGTCTAACACTTTCTAAAACTTCTACCAAACACACTGAAGTACAATTTTCCCAGCAAGAGATACATTTCGGAAGAACATGAACACTCAAGTGTGCCCACAGCCCTACCAATTAATAAAAACATTAAATTGTACCATATTTTAAAATGAGAAGTAACAAATTTACAACTTGGAGTTTACTGGGCAGAGTATGCATATGGCCCAAGGTCTACATTTTTGCATTATTCTTAGGTTCTTCCATCTCTTGTGACTGTCACAAATAAGTAATTGGAAAGGTAGGCTATTATTGTACCTCACGTATAATGGTTTCATCAAGCTGACATTTCTGGGGCCATCAAATGTCTATTGTCACGGTTCCAATGTTTGTAATGTGTCCCTCCAGAACTCAGATGCTAGCATCTTAACCCCAACTGAAGGGACCGGAGGTGCCTGGGTCACGCTGGTAGAACCCTAGTGAGTGGTTCTTCTGAAGGAGCACCCAAGAATCTCGGTGCTTTCAGCATGTGTTGATAAACAATAAGCCCTGTCTGGACACCAGAAGCTGGCCCTCTCCAGACAACAAATGACAGCCAGTGTCTTGGTCTTAAACTTCGAGACTCCAGAAATATGAGGAATAAGTTTCTGTCACTTATAAACCACCATTTTAAAGTGCCAGGCTCTCACTGTTGATCGTGGCTCAGGCGTCCTCCACTACGCACATGAAAAGCCCTGGTGTCAATTACTGAGGCTCTTCAATGCATTTCATTCTAGCTAGTTCTCAGAGGACTGCATCAATTAACAAACCCAATCTAATATCACATTTAATGGCCTTGGGGATAGTGAGATGGAGCACTGGGTTAAGGTACTTGCCACCAAGTCTGACAAACTGAGTTTGTTACCCAGAACCCACGGGGTAGAGAGAACCAATTTCCACCTTCATATACATGTGGGTATGCACATACTCTTGCACAAAAAGTAAATTAAATAAATGTAATTTAAATTCTGCTTAAATTTTAAAAATATATAATAACCTTAAAAGGCATGGGATGATCTAACTTCTCAAAGTTCTCACAACTTGGGATCTTATGTTCAGACATTCAGAGGGAACAGTAAAGAGACTACAAATATCGTGTGGCCACTTGGTGGGCAACAGCAGAGAGTAGAACCCAGGACTCCAAATCCCCAGTACCAGGCTTTTTCAGGCAGTAACAGTGAACCCTGTAGTTACCCATAAGTCAACAACACACTGGGCATTCACAGTGATCAATCTAAGGAAACACAGTTTGAGTTCTGTACCCACATTGTTTTTACAGTACATGAAAACATACTTAGGGAGTCCCGGACCTGAAAGAAACAAGGTCTGTAGCCATCCCATGTACCAGCCACACAGGTACAATGAGCCCAGGGTCTTTAAGGGACCAAAACAATAAAGCCTCCAATAAGGGTATAAAAATCTAGATGATCTCTGCAGGTTATTAAGGAAGGAAGTCTGTGGTCAAATCTATTCAGTTTAAGCTATGTTTGACCAAAATGGCAACTTTAATAAAGATAACACATGAAAGCTTAAAAAGCAAGGTTGGCCTTTAGAATAAATATTTGCCTTTAATTCTGAGAGAAATGGCAGTACTCCATCAGACCAACAGTCTTTGAAATGATTTCAGAAACAAAGTCTAAACCTTTACAAATTCAATTCTCCATTACCCACACATTAAGTTTAAAATGTAATATTTTATAATGGGAAAGCAGAATGACATGGATTTTATTTGTAATAAAAAAATAAAAGAACTGTGAGGCTGGTAAGATGGGTAGTGGATAAAGTCACCTACCACCAAGACTGAAGGCCTGAGTTCCATTCCTAGGCCCACATGATAGAAGGAGGGAACCAACGCCTGCAATATGTCCTCTGATAATGCACACCATCTACACCACATACACATACAAATGTAATTTTTAAAAAGAACTGTGCTATTTGATTCTGGTATCTGTTGAGGAATAATCCTGCACACTATGAAAATGTGTTACTCTCATTGTTAATAAATAAACTGATTGGCCAGTAGCCAGGCAGGAATTATAGGCAGAACAACCACACTAAGGATGCTGGGATGAAGAAGGCTGAGTCAGAGGAGTCACCAGGTAGAAAGACAAGTAGTACACATAAAATGGAACAGAAGTAAAAGCCAAGTGGCAGAATGTAGATTAACAGAAATGGGTTAATTTAAGTTGTAAGAGCTAGTTAATAATAAGCCTGAGCTATAGGTTGAGCATTTGTAATTAGTATCAAGCCTCTGTGTGGTTATTTTGGAGGTAGTGGTCAGGGCAGGAAAACTCCACCACCTACAGGTATCACCTGCAACTCTCCCTTCCTGTCAGTCACCAACTAACTGGTTCAGAGCACCTACTTTTCTACCAAAAAAATAAACTATTTCACTGTCAATTTTCTTTGTAAAAGAATGTTTCTTACATTTATTTATTTCTTGAGGGAGGAAAGTGTTTGCCTTTTACCACATGGGCCCCAGGGGTGAACTCAGGTTGTCAGGCTCAAGGGCAAGCACCTTTATCCACTGAGCCTTCTTACCAGGCCCTACGTCAGCTTCCCAAACTACAAAGTACATTGTAATGTCCTTGTTAATAGCAGAAGCCACCATTTATTGAGTGCCACCAGTTTTACATGCTTTATCTCATTTAATCTTCAAAACAAAACTCGGAGAAATCAATTGAACAGGTCCCCAGCTATGGATAGCAGAATCAGAACATGAAGGAAAAGATGGCAGCCTTCCCCCACACAGTGTACTTCAGAGCCACTGTGGTTATGTGTACTACACAAGCTTACAACACACATAACTATGATCAAGTTTATAATAAAGAATTTGTAATTTATAAACAACAATCTAACAATATACTGTAACAGAAGTCACATGAATGTGAGGTTTCCATTGTGCTTCTAAATATCTACTCTCCTGAGTTCGTCCTCTCAGATCATGGATGACCACAGGAACAGCAATGGAAACTACAGAAGGTGAACACACAGATGAGGACAGATGAATGCCACTGTTGCATTGCTGACCTAAACAAGCATATATTCCAGTCACTGGAGCACCAGAACTGCCCTCCAAGATGCACATGCTGAACTCAAGAGTATTCAACAGCATTCGTAGCCCCATTAAAATACAAAACCAGTGAGCAAGTCCTGGGAGGGAGAAAGCACAGCTCTCAGCTTGGCACATCCCTTACAGAATGCAGGAGGTTCACACCCTTCCTAGAAGCCTCACAAAATCTGGCTCTTGTTAGAGGCTCACAGAAAAATTTTTGCCCCAGGGCTCAAGAGATGGCTCAGCTGTTAAGATTTGCTTTGTGCTCTTGCAGAGGACACAGAGTCCTTTTAGCACACACACTTGGTGGCTCACAACCACCTGTAACACCAGTACCAGGAGATCTGATGCTTTCTTCTGGCCAAGGTACTGACGTGCATGTGGTGCACATAACCTCACATAGGCACACACACACACACACACACACACACACACGCACGCACGCACGCACGCACATACATGTACAGAAAAAGTTTAAATGTCCTAATATAGGAGACTCAAACTCCTAGAAAGCTCAGCTATATATCTTTTAAAATCCCCCATCTGATTCAGCTGACAATCCACAGACTGAGGCTATAAAGTAAAATATGACAAATGTTAGCATAACTGGTCACACAGCTAACAGTGATCTCAACACAAATAGATCTGCTGTGAAGAACTAGAAAAAAAAAAAAGGGAGCTTCAGCTGTCACCATCACTTACCGTTTTCCCATGCAATTCTTGGCATTCAGGCCACCAACCTTGTTTATGGCAGACCAGGCTGTGAGAGCCACATACGGCAAAGAGGCAGCATGAGTATGAGTGAGTGATTTGGGCTTGTGCGAGACCTACAGTGAAAGACAATGGTAAAAACTAAGCAGGAACTTACATGCCTATCTACACAGCTAAGCACTTACCATCACAGGAAAACAGGAATTTTCACAGAGAAATTTACAAACTACTCCTGCGTTCAGGGTTTACTGCACGCCCTACTCCAAAGCTGGCCTGAGAACAGTCTCCAAACAGCTCTTTGCCTGTATCACAGAGGCTCAGTGATGTTTTGCAGACTACATTATTAGATATACTACTTTACTGCCTATTTAGAAAAAAGACCATATATAATAATCCCAAGTATTAGACATACTACTTGACTGTTTATTTAAAAAGAGCATATATAATAATGGTGCTAGTCTGGACTATACTCAGAGATAAATTCAAATAAGCCTCAAACCCTGATAAACACATTTTGTTTTTGATACCAACTGCTTCCTTAACTCTGTTTTCTAAAATGTAATTTTTCTAGAATATTTTCTATCCTTATAATTCCCAGTGCCCAGTAACTCTAATTCCTCCTCCAGGCTCTCTCTGTCAATCCTTTTCCTCTATTAACTGTTAGGTCCCCTGACTATATTAGATACCTCCATGTCTCTCCCTTGGGTATAACTGGTTCACACTGGGTAGAGCAAAGAACACTGTAGGTTCTAAACCTCAGCCCAAGTCTTCGGATATAGAAAACTGCTCAGCAGGCAACGCTAATAAATACACCGAATAGTTTTAACCCTTTCAAAGTCTCCTAGTCTTCATTTTAGCTCTCTCAACATTGCCTGTCAAACATGAAACTAATCTGAAAAGACATCACTAACTTTCGAGACGCCTACCAGTCTTCCTTACAGTTAAGCATTTCAGCAGAGGCGGCGCGTGAGTTACCTCATTCCCACTGACCACGACGAATTCTGACAAAGTGCCTTGTTTCCAAGGAGGAACTGCAGCCCAGACCTGAAATGCAGATGTGCAGCTTTATTAGAACAGCCATGTCTGACCCACGCTAAGCATGAAGGTATCCCCTAACACACGGCTACCCAGAGCGGGAGGGGGCTCCAGTGCAAAAAGCTAAGTTTCACACGATACCAATTCATTGCTGAGTATGATTCTGGATTTATCAACTCAAACCACATTGGACATACAAACTAATATACCTGACACATTCTGCTAGACTCTGCCGGAGAACGATGACTTACTAGCTCTGGCTTTGAATTTTTATTTACTTATATGTATTTTTGAGACAGGATGTCATCAGATAGCACAGGATGACCTCAAACTTTTAATCTTCTCATCTCTGTTGTGTGATATTTTCATAGTGTTCTGACAAATAAAGCTTGTTTGGAGTCAGAGTGGGGAGCCATCACTAGCTGACCATAGAGGTTTGGAGGACCATAGAGAGAGGAGACAAGAAGTGATAAGGTGGGGCAGAGACAGGATCTGGGCCCTTTTGGACAGATGAATGGAAGAGATAGGAAGCAACTGGCAGCTGCTCCTGGCTCTCTGATCATTCAGGTTTTTATCCAAATATTTGACTCTCAATTTTTTTATTGATAAAGATTAATTAGAGTAATGCTTCACATCTCAGACTCCTTAGTGCTGGGATTACAGGAAAACCACACTATTCCCAGCTGCCTGTGCGCCACTTTATAGCTGGGCTTCCTCAACTGCAAACTGGCTGGTTGTACTGACTAGCAGGGATTATCTTCTCTGTGAAAAGAAACCAGAACATGCTATTATTATGAGTTAACTACTAACTCTTGGCACAAAGTGACAAGTGACAGATTATATCAAACTTTAGCTATTTCAAAACCAGCTAACCAATAAGGGACAAACTGTCATTTAAAGACTCAAGCAAAATGAATCCTCCTAATCCTATGATGTAGGATTCCCCTCTGTATGCTCTGAATCATGTTTTATTACCATTAGTTAATAAAGAAGCTGCTTTGGCCTATAGCAGGGCATAATATAGGCAGGCAGGAAAACAAAATTGAATGTAGAGAGAAGAAGGTAGAGTCAGGCAGATGCCATGCAGCTGAGGAAGGAGAAAGATGCCAGTACCTTACCAGTAAACCATGAGCCTTGTGTTAAATATAAAATAATAGAAATGGGTTAATTTAAGATATAAAAACTAGCTAGGAATACACCTGGGCCATTGGTCAAACAGTATGGCAATTAATATGGTTTTTCTGTGTGATTATTTGGGTCTGGGTGGCCGGGAATGAGAGTGCATACTCTGTTTACAATCCTACATGTTTTTAAAGTCTTACAATTCTTAAGAATTTAGAAATTTAGAAAATTCAAGTATAAGCTGAGCATGTGGCTCATGCCTGTAATGTTAACACTAAGGAGGCCAAAGTATTACTACAAGTTCAAGATAAGCCCGAGCTATATAGTGTGTTCCAAGCAGCAAGACCCTGTCTCACAAAAAAAGAAAAAGAAAAAAAAAAAAAGAAAACAAGAAACAAGTGCCCTGCTCAAGGCACATACGGAAGAGACAAACAGTCTATTTCCAAAGAAAGGAAGTAGGATAGCCCGGTAACACACACCTGCAATCCCAATTTTTGGGAGGTGAAGGATTAGAAGCACAAAGTCATCCTCAGCTACAAACCAAATCCGAGACCCAGCTATACGCAATCTAAAATAATTTTCAAAGAATAACCAGTAAGAGAGCCGGGCAGGGTGGCATGTGCCAGTAAGCCTAGCATTTGGGAGGTCGGCACAGCAGAATCACAGGTTCAAAAGCACCTTGTGGTGTTTGAAGGAGAATGGTCCCCGTAGGCTCATGTATGTGCATGCTTAGTAGCCAGTTGATGAACTGTTTGGGGAGGATTAGGAGGTGTGGCCTTGATGGAAAAGGTGTGTCACTGGGGATGGGCTTTAAGGGTTAAAATCCCATCTAGGCCCAGTGCCTCTTGGATCAGGATGTAAGCTTTCAGCTCCTTCCCCAGCACGATGCCTACCTGTGAGCCACCATGATCCCACCGTGATGATAACAGACCAACCCTCTACAACTGCAAGCCAGCCCCAATTCAAGGCTTCCTTTTATCAGAGTTGCCTTGGCCGTGGTGTCTATTCACAGCAATAGAACAGTGACTAAGACACTTACAATGCATGTGTCTTGAGTTACATGAAAACCAGATGAAAGCAGAAGGAGAGGGAGTGGGGAAGGAGAGGGAGGCGAGACAATGAGGAGGAAGGATTAACTCACCTCATCTCCAGGCTGGAAATACTTTACGTCAAGCCCACACTCCATCACCACGCCAGACACATCCCGACCCAGAGTCAGAGGAAACTCTTCTCCTTTGGTTCTTATATGCAAAGGATCACGCTTCATATTTAAGGCAGTCGCTCCATAACCACCTACGAAACACAATGGACCTGCTTCTTAAAGGAAAAGGTCAGAGTGACTTTAAAATACTATAGCACACAGTCAGATCAATGTCATATGCTCAAAAGGAGACTCTAACACAACCACACAGTTTTGCCACCACACAGTAAAGTGTAAAAACAACGGGGTGTTGTTCCTTTCAAAGAAAATTACTTAGAAAGCTGCAATCGCTAAAACCACAATTGATCAAAGTCCTTTGAAACTCAAACTGCAAAACTGCCTTCTGGAGTTTTAGAATCCTCTTTTATACAATTGCTCTTTGAAGATGGTATCTCTATTAATTTACTCATTTGCAAACCTTTTAAGTATTTAGACAAGATTTGCTGTGTAACCCAGGCTAGCTTTAAACTCCTAGCCCTCCTATCTCAGTCAAAATGCTGGGACTATAGAGATGTGTCCCCACACTTGAATGAATTTTTTACGAGCAAAGACATTTAGTACTAAGTCTGGTAAAGAAGACAAACGTTCATGCTGTTAAAGAGTTCATACATAGTAAAGTGTCCGATACTAGCACTCGATTGAGTTTAAGAGGTCTAGTCTCCATTTCCTAAAAATCTGTCTAGAATAATGATTTTGAGTAAGTGCAAAGAATTTTAGTGGAAAAGAGCCACTGAGCTACATCTGATGTGTCTGATCAGGCCAACTGCATTATACCTGCGGGGTAGGGTGCATTGGTTTGGGGATTTTTTTTTTCTTTGTTTGTTTTTGAAACAGAGTCCCACTGTGTAGCCTTGGTTGACCTGGACTTGCTATGCAGACCAAGCTGGCCTCACAGAGATCCATTTGATTCTGCCTCCCCAGTGACAGGACTGAAGAAAGATGTGTGGCACTACACGAGGCTCATACCATTTTCCTTTAAGGATATTTACACAGAAAACAGGTAAGTAAAGTTGAAACCATTCTTTTAGTTCAAATAAATTAACTGCTCTATCTGCAATAATAATCCAACGTAATAAATGGGCCTAGATACTTCAGAAGAGTTCTGAAAGTCAAGGCCTTTGAAAATATTTAATGCTGTTTTCAAATAAGAACAAAAGCAGAGAAGAGACTCTAAATAAAACAGTGGCAGAAAAAGAAGTAATAATAATCACAAAGTTATATGCTGTGTGAATGACCCACTATAAAAGAAAAGAGAAATGCAGGAGAGGAGAGATACCCCAGTTAAGTGAGGGAGGATGTGATCAAGAAGACCAGCAGAAGGTTGGCCTTAGATGGGCAGTGACAATCCAGCGGCAAAGTGAAGAGCAGATAAGCGGAGATGCTGACAGGTGGGTAGTCTGCAGAGTTGTTTTTCTAAAGAAAAAAAAATCTAGGCACTTGGGAGGAAATGAAAGTTGGGATAGCCCCAGAAAAACATAAGCTGGTGGTCCTTATACCAACATTCCACATTTGCCATCTGGCCAGCTGGAACTGCACTCCACAGAAAATGCCCACAGTGCACGTAACACTCACCAAGGGCATTTTTCCTGTTTTATATTTTTCCCCTCTGCTAAGACATAGCAGTGTACTTCCTGAAACCCTTTGTGGCTTGAGAACACAAGTGTACATTTTGCCTTGGCACAATTTAGTTGTAAAGCTGCAAAACGGTTTCGGTCCTTTCTGAGAGCCCAAGCCAACAGTTCAGATTGTTTTCAACCATTTTCTTAATAACCCTAATATGTTAATATGCCCAACGCTAATATACCAAGAGTAGCCAGGTCCAGCTAAGCTCATCTTACCAAAATGCAGCCAGCTTGTAGTAAGAAACGGAAACCGTTTGGGGACAAAATGGGGTTTAAGCTTGTCATCCCAGCTGCAGGTGGTAGCACACACACCTGGATCTGGAACACAAGCAAGAGGGGCAGTAGTTCAAGCTCTTCCTCAGACACACAGAGCCTGTAGCCAGCCCAGTCCAGCCCACAAGAGTCTCTTAAGAAAGACAAGAGTGCCTCCCACTAACACAGGCTTGACTTGACCAGAGTTGGGCTAATTTAGAAAATCCCCAAGACGTCATCAATTTCAGTTCTTTTAATCCCATCTAAACAAATCAAACTTTGTTGTATATGCCGTTGGCTATACTGCTTTAAAATTATTCATAAACCAGGCGGTGGTGGCACATAGCTTTAATATCAGCACTCAGGAGGCAGAGGCAGGAGGATCTCTGTGAGTTGAGGGCAGCCTGGTCTACAAGAGCTAGTTCCAGGACAGGCTTCAAAGCTACAGAGAAACCCTGTCTTGAAAAGGCCAATAAATAAATAAGTTGTAACACCTAGGCCAAGAGAATGACCTTGACCTTCTGTTCCTCCAGCCTCCACTGCTCTAGTGCTCCACTGCTAGCAGGTAAGCACTGCCCACCCAGCTTAAGAACGCTGGGGCTCACACCCAGGGCTCCGCACAGGGCAGGCAGGTGCTCTGACCAATGGGTCAACTCTTATCCTAGTTTCAGGAGTTTTCCAGCTACAAACATTTTAAGACTACAAACCTTTCTCAAAATCTCTTCCTCTAAAGAAAAGCTATTACTAATAGTTAATCTGCAGGTAAAGGAAACAAAAGTAATTCTGGAATACTTTACTCAAATCCACAATATTGCCAAGATAACATGTAGTTCTTGTTGTTGGCTGTTGCTGTTAATGCTGGTGATCTTGCCCAGGGACACACCACACAAAGGAATTACTACTGAGCTATACCTCTGGTGCTGATAAAAATCTGATGGAGATGTGTTTAACTCTTTTCTTATTAAATATTTGAAATCTAGTGTCTTTTGCATAAACAGCTCTTATATCCCAGTAACCTATTTGGAGGTAAATCCGTTGCTTTATCAACTACTGCCCATTTGAGCAGTTCACATATGGAACTGTATCTCAGTCATTTCATACTTTACTCCTATTTTAATTCTGTATTTACTGTATTTTAAAATAAAAATTTTTAGCATTTGTTCAAATTTCTGATTAGATTATTATAGCTCCTATAAAAGTCCAGTATTTTTTAGATACAAATGAGACTTGAAGCCAAATTTAAGAATTGCTACTCTATCGCTCATTTCTGGCAAAAAAAAAAAAAAAAAGTGAAGTTGGTTTCAACATTTTCTTCTACTTTTAACTTAATCTGGAAGCAGATTTGTGTAACAGAGAAATTAAGTTAGCCTCACAGTACTGAGAGCTGCTTCTGGGGCCTTGAAGGCAACTGAAGTCCCACACACAAACCCTTCTGACTACTGACCCAGGGTTATACACGGCAGCTCCCTTAAAGACTGGGAGGTTACCTGTCTGGGAATCAAGACTGACATCAGTCATCTCAAAACATGTTCATCTCCAGAAGACACAGACTGAGTGCCCACAAGCAAGACTGACAATATTTTTTGCCAAATTTTTCCAGAGTTAAAGTAATTCATAAATACAAACCAATACGTTCACTATTATAATAGAACCACAGTACAGGCTATAAGAAATGCTCTCTCCAAACTTTTCAACGTGGCCCAGCAAGAGAAAGCAGGCTGATATTATCCCAATTTCAACAGGTGTATAACAAGAAAACCCATTTTAGGTACAGAGGGCAAAATGCAATATGAGAATGAGAATACCGTGCCCATATCCTGGACTCCTGTTCTGTTGCTTGGTTCCCTAGGCCTGAAACAGAAGCTGTGAATAACTGGAGAGCAAGGAGGATACAGGAATTATATAAACCCAAACTCTGAACCACTGGGGAAACATAACCAAACTCTGAAACCTATACCTGACCCTAAGATTACCACCCAGTAAATTAACCTCAGGTACCACTTCTCAGTCCCAATTCACAATAGAAAGGAAGCAATCAAACCCACTTAATAAAAGATTAAAGTGGTCCTTAGCTATTGTGGTTTCAAATTTTTGGAACTACTTACAGGGATGTTATCAAAAGACCTACCCGACTCTGGAGGGCTCTACCTGTATGGCACTTTCCACCAAGCCTGATGGCTGGAGTCGAAGGAACCCACTTCCACCTGTTGTCCTTTGACCTCCACTTGAGCACTGTCCCACGCACCCAAACACAAAATAAATAAATGTAGCAATAATAAACCTAAATGATTCCTTTATGCCAATACCTGCCATCCCAGGACTGGAGGGCAGGGCAAGCAGAGCTGCCCGAGTGGAGACTGCAGAGTACCATGAGTTGAAGGCCAGCATGAACTAGATAGTAAGCTCATCTTAGAAACAAACAAAACCACACAAACAAAACATCTGCATGCCTAATGAAATTTTGATTAAAAAAAAAAGACTGGACAACTTACTTCTCATATTAACATCTATAGGATTTACACTGGCAGCATGGACTTTGATAATGACTTCGTTTGGATAGTGTATGATAGGTAACAGCATGTCTTGTGTGAACCGAAGAACGTCATTCTTTCCGTATTTATCTATCACCCAAGCGGGCATAACAGTGCTTCTGGCAGGCGTAGTACTAATCTCTCTAAATGGCCTCTTTGGGATAACTCTGCTTCTCCAGAAGCAGGCGGCGGCGGCACATGCACTTCTCCTAAGTACACAAGACTTCAAAACCTCCATCCTGGGAAGGGATGGAGCCGCGTCCTCAAAAAAAAAAAAAAAAAAAAAAAAAAAAAAAAAAAAAAAAAAAAAAAAAAAAAAAAAAAAAAAAAAAAAAAAAAAAAAAGGAAAAGGAAAAGAAACCACCACCTGGAGTGGGTCAAACTAGCCCCACTTCAATTCAGCCAAATTCTGCTAAACCCACTGTCAATTAAAGGGAGAGGAGCTTCCAGAAACGAACTCAACCTAAAGAAGCAATGGAAGGAGGAAAATATGCTACAATGCTCCCCACATCAGAAAGGCTCTAGTTGACGTCCAGTCGATATTCTGTCCATTGCCCCTTTGGCTCTCCTCCCCCTTAAAGAAAAAACCGAACAAGCAGGGAGCCCTCGGCGGGGCGAGCAAACTGCATTTGCTCTCCCTTGTCGGCAGTCTGGAATCTTCCGAGTCCCGACGCGACCCCAGCCCCGGTCTCCTTGCCTGTCCGCGCGCCGCTGCGGCCCGGAGCGCCAACCAATCGCGTGCAGAGATCATTTCCGCAGCTGGAAGCTCAACCAATCCAAGCGCTCGGTGTTGAAGAGGCCCGTGAGGATCCAAGATGTCTGCGCCCATGCACTGCTAGTGGCAGACGGCGACTTCTTCCTCTGCTCCGGGCCCCTCTGGTACCGGGCTGAACCCGAGGACTATGCTGGGCCGGACTCTCCAAGAAGTGAGTGGAAGCGGCCCGGAGGGAACCCGGGAGGGCGGAGAGACTCGAGGACCCCGAGGTCAAGGTCGCCCCGGGTCACCCGGCACGGCTCAGGCTGCCTGGTCGCCTACATTCCTGAGTGGCCAGAGGGATTTGAACCTATCACTTTTAGGCAGTTCACCACCATACCCGTCCCGTCAGGAGAAATGTTTGCACCGCTGAGCCACGGGGTGGAATTACATCGCTCCAGCGCGATTTGGGGAAAGTTTTCACCCTATCCCAGCTGTACTCGCTTAGGGGTGGGGCGAATTTGCAGCCTGCAAAATTCCTGCGAAATAATTGGTGGCTCAAAGAAAAGCTGCATTCTGTATCTTTAGAGATCCCCAAATAACTAGGATCCCTACCACTACCGTCACTCCTGGACATAACATTTGAACCCCTGCGAAAGCTGTAGGTCGCAACCTATACATAGCAGAAATTTTGACAGCAGTTTAAAGGAGGCGGGGATCTGAGAGACAGGAAGATTCTAACGTTGTGAATCTAAGGTGTTTCTGAAGCACTCACCGATGCTTCCTCCCGACTTCACTGCAGCAAGGTTCAGAACACTGTTTGCTGTCCCGACTGATACTGGCTGAAACATCGCAAGTCAGAATCAAGAATATTGTGTGTTATGAATAGCAGCGGGATTGTGTGTGTGTGTGTGTGTGTTATGGATTGCAGTGGTTCTTTTATCTGTATATGCCGCTTCTCTAAACTTGTAGAAACGTAACTTTTTGCAGGAAGCAAAAACTTTAAATATTTTCCTAAATCTTTCATAAGCTTGTATGAAATTCGTTTATCTTTGGATTTTATTGTGTTAAGGTTCTTGATTCTAAAAATAGCTGTTTGAGTTATTGGCTTGAGTTTGACTTAAAAAATTATTAAATGAATTTTGATGTGAGATTATTCAGCTATTTCTGATATAGCCCTAAACATGGTCCCGTCATTTTGTGCAGAGTATTTATGCAAAGGGCTGTTCTCAGCACTCTGATAATTTTCAAATCGAAATATTGGTAAGCTGAAAAAAATGAAAAACATCGAAGCAGCTACATTCTGCAGTATCAAATAGTCCGCCAAGATTTATTTATTTAAAAAGAAACAAGCATGTGCAAATTTGTTTTAATCTTTAATAGATAATAAAATTATGTCTACCAAAGAATTTTTTAAATATTTATTTTATGTATATGGCTATTTTGTCAGCATACATATCTGCATGCCAGAGGGCATCAAATCCCATGGGACTATAGTTCTAGACAGTTGAGAGCTGCCATGTGGGTGCTCTGGACCTCTGGAAGAGCAGCCAGTGCTCACAACTGCTGAGCCACCTTTTTAGCCCCCTCCCAAATTTTTTTTAAAATAAATTCATTTATGACTTATCAATAAATGATTTGTATACCTTCTTTACATACCAGTATACCAGGGTTTTGCAAAAATGCACTGGCAGAAAAGGATTGTGAGTGGAAAAACTTAAGGAGCCCTGCCCTAGACGCTTGCTGGAGATTTCTTCCAGGTGCCCCATGACACACGCTAAAGCAAAGGTGCCACTGTACCAAGCCAAAAGGAAAGCAAAACCCCAGAGCATAACTGTAATCCATTGGCCCACAGACTGTCCTTCACTCCACACAGTCATTAGATCACTAAGCCCTCTATAGTCTGTTCTGTGACTTTATTATTACTTTTAACACTTATTCTTGTATTAATACGGGTCACCTGGCTTTGCTTGAAGCTAAACTCTCCTTCTTTGCCACAATCTGCTTGCCCAGGCAGAATCACCTGGGGCCTTGGATAAAACTTCACCTGGTTCCCACTCTAGACTTACAGACAGATCTGTGTGATTAAAGCCCTGAGTATGTGGCTTACTAGGGTCTCTGGGTCGATTCTGATAACTCAGTATTGCGTCCCAGTCCTGCCTACCATTTCCCTTCTGTTTCTCCATTAGGGAAGTTTCTCATCCTGGCAGCATTTCAGCAATTATAAATTATAATGAGACATTTAAATCCATTGGCTTTTAGTAATAATTTCCCCCAAAATACATTTTGCTTTGCTATCCTATGTTGTATGTGACATATCCTACTGTTAGTGAAAAATCAAATTTGTTCTTTTTTCTCTCTCTTTGTTGTTGAGACAGGATCTTGTACACAGGCTAGCCTTGCCAAATTTCTCTAAAAAGAGTGGGGACTCCCTAAAACTTAAGATACAACCTATAAAAAAAAATATGATCTGCTTTTTCTCTCTTAAGCACCTTTGGTGGAAGAGAGAGATTGTGTGTGTGTGTGTGTGTGTGTGTGTGTGTGTGTGTGTGTGTATGCTACCCCTTTTTGACACTGAATGAACCATTGTGAAAACAACATTTACTTCATGAGGGGAAACCCATAACAAGGGAGTTGGCCTAAAGGAAGACCAAGAAGTTGCCTTGACATGACTTTTACTTAACAACTCCTTTGGCAAATATTGCTAGTGCCTACTGTATTCAAAAACTGTTCGGTAGTTATTTTACCAGGCAAAAAAGTATTCTGTCTACTTTATAATTTTTCCACGTTCCTGTCCTAATGCTTCAAGCTTTACTAGTTAGATTTAAATCAGTACACATTTGCTTTTTAATGTGTGTAGATGCCCAAGAGTAGTGAAAGATTCGTTCTCCATGTTGTAGTCTGTCAGTTGAATCAGTTCTCTTAGTTCCTAACACTGTAGTTGAGATAATTGATTAAGAAAGAGAAATTATGCTGGTGGGGCAGCTAGAGGGAGAAGCTCAAAACTGTGAGCATTTGAGGCAATTTAGGGGGCTATTAATAGAGCTTAGGACAGCAGAAGAACCCAGGGACAAGACACCAGGATGTGGCGCTAGATGAGAGGTAAAGCCCAGGAGGGGTGGCAGCCACAGCTTCAACCTCAGGTGGATCTCAGTGAGTCTCAATTCCAGGGTAGCCAAGGTTGCACAGTGAGTCTTAGGAAAAAAGGATGTGTTGTAGGGTACTTATCAGAAATCACCTTTTTGGGGTGACTCTTGCCACGGTCCTAGCCTGCAGCAGGTTCATAAATTCCAGGGTAGGGGCGTGAGGATTAGAATAATTAGGGAAAAGGAACAGAGATATAGAAGAAAGATGAGACAGAAACAGGGAGGGAAAATCAGAGAATACTGAATCCTCCTCGTTTATTCTTCCAGAAGCTTGTGTACTTCACTCCAAAAGGGGAGGGAGGGAAGGCAACAGACTTCATTAGCGTGACACAAGGAATAGGCTTGAATTCTCCCACCTTCTGTTCAGGTGGAGCAGATCTACTGCAACACACAAAATACTGATTAACCACACCCTAGGCCAGGATCTCTTATTTGTAGCCACACCTGTTGTAGAGCAAAAACAAGCTCAAACTCTGTGACCTTCAGACAAGGAGGAACAGGCTCGTGGTGTGTGTGTGTGTGTGTGTGTGTGTGTGTGTGTGTGTGTGTGTACACTGACAGTAGTTACCTAGACGTGTTTAGGATGGTTTAGCTCTTAGCGTACTCTATCCTGGCATGATCCTAGTTTTCTTGGCATTAGACTCCTGGCTATTGCAATTAATCCAATAGTTTCTATAGGTTAGCTTCTCAGAGTTCTAAACTATAAAGATTTTGTCTTAGTCAGTATTCCATTGCTAGGAAGAGATACCATGACTGCAGCAACTCTTATAAAGGAAAGCCTTTAATCAGGCTGACTTAGAGTTCAGAGGTTTAATCTGTTACCATCATAGCAGTGAGTATGGAAGCACACAAGCAGATGTGATGTATACAAGTAGCTGAAAGTTGTATATCCAGATCCACAGACATCGGGAAGAGAGTGACACTGGGCCTGGCAAGGGATTTTGAAACCTCAAAGCCTACCCCTAGTGACACATTTTCTCTAACAAGGCCACACCTACTCCATCAAGACCACACCTCCTAACCCTTTCAACTACTGCCACTCTAATTCAAACGATGAGCCTGTCACCACAGATCCATCACTGTTGTGTAAGTAGTAGATTCCCAGTTTTAAACAGCTGTCCTCCCAGTAATATTCAGTGAATGCCTCTCTTCCAGGCACTAAGGATTGGTTGAAGACAGAAGCTCTTTTCCTGTTAACACAACACTGTTTTTAGATAGGAAGATAATCATGAGTAAGTTTTCTTCTAATGTTAAATGATATAATTTCAGATAGTGTAAGTACTGAGAAGGAAAGTTAAGCAAATTACAGGGAGAGCATAAGTGGAGTTGGATAGTTTAGGCAGAGTGGCTTCTTTGATTTAGTGCATGGTGTTTAATAGAGGCTAGGAAGGAAGGGCGGGTCTGGAAGAGCTGGGATATAATGTTCTGGACAGACGGAAGAATGAGTGCACACCAAGAAGCAAGAGCAAGTTAGACACAGTCAAGCCATCATGAGGTCAGCATGCCAGGAACAAATCAGCTAGGAGGCTGGAGGAAGATAGGTCAGAGAGACAAGACGCCCATAATAGGGAGAAGGATTTGACTCTGAGTACAGGACAACCTCTGGACAATTTCAAGCTTGTGGATATAGTCTAAGCTTTTAGTAGCTCCTCCAAAAACTAGGCATTGGCTTTAATTTTATCCGTGTGTATGACTGTCTGGATAGCTCTGAGACCAGAAGAGGAGGTCTAGTTCTCTGGAACTGTAGTTACAGTTTTGAACCACCATGTGAGTGTCAGGCCCAAACTCTGGTCCTCTGCAAGAGCAACAAGTGCTCTTAACCACTGAGCCATCTCAACTGACTTTAAAAGTTGCCTTTTTCTAGGGAATTCTCATTTGAAAGATAGTTACTTTTTCACCATGAAACCCTTATGTTATCTGTAGGTTAATGGGATGGTTCTCTACTTTATTGAAAGGGAGTAAACATCATAGCCATACAAAGAAGAAATGGGATTTAGTGGCTCTGAGAGCTGGTTTTAGAAACAGGATCAGGTCTTGGTTGAATCTCAGCTCTGCTTTTTTCTAATTCTGTGACTTCAAGCAAGCA